TTAAGTGATTTATACACCTGACTACACTATTAGTATCATACTGCCTGATGCTGCTTCTCTTGCTGCTTCTGCAACAGCTCTGTTGTCCTTTTCTGTATTTTCACACATCTTAGCAGAAAGAGTAATATGAATTCCCTTCTTAGAAGCTATGCTACAATTATTTTTATGATCCACTCCATTTGCATGCTGTCTTTCGTCTGATAGACCACCACAAGCAGCTGAGAAATTCCTGCATAAACTACAGTGAGCTTTATGGTGATTACTGCTGTCTTTTCTGATCCGTGGAAAATAATTTCTCCAGCCGTTCCAGAAATGCAACCCTTCTGCTGTTCTTAGCGTGGATCTGTTGATGGATGATACCGTCCACAGGCATCGCCATGGTCTTGATCAATGCAGGGCTGTTACCTGACACACAAAAATTATGTCAACGGGGCTCAGACTCAGTCTTGGATTGTGATGACTCTCTCTGCTCTGTACCCTCTGGCTACAGCCCCAATACAGCCAGCTGTTATCTTATGATAAATATCGAGGCTAAAATTATCATTAGATGACAACAAATTGAGTTCACAAGGTAATCCTGGCTCTTTGAGGTGGCTGGTGCTTTTTTAGGTAGACTGGAGCTATTCTGGAGATGTATTTCACATACTTCAAAAAATGTAATTTTCATTTCAGTGACTGTTGGAATCATTTTTGGATACCTTCTGCTAAGAAATACAGGATCTATTGGTTTCAAAGGCACTGAGTATAAGTAAACTACATATAGATCAAATGCATAGGAAATTGTTTTCAGCAGAGCCTCTGTGTGCGTGCGACTCGTCTCATTTCTGCCAGATTCTGCAATCCCAGCAGCAGGCCCTGAAACTGCCCCTGCACCAAAGCAGCCCATTTCTCATCCCAGTCCCATGCATCCTCCTTCCCCAGTCTGCACAGCAGCTCGGAAAGCACAAGTGACACAGCACAACGACGTATTGTAAGGGCTGGAGTACTCCTCTATTTATAGACTGCTGGAATTGAAGGAAAATTTCCAAAGAGCTCTAGTCAAATTACTACTTAGACGCTTCCAGGTCCAGCCAGAACACGCTGGCTCGCTGCCGGGTTTCAAAACTCTACCCTGTGCCTCGAGCTTCTGCGGGAAAATATCCTAGTGACCATACATGGGTACTTCTTATTTGCACAGGCAATAATGGCCATTCCCACATCATTTCCTTACTGAGTTGCAAATGCAGGAAAATGAGACAACAGCATGATTCAACAGTCTCAGGCAGGCAATCACATCCAGGATTTCAATTTCCGATGTGCACCTCAGGGCAGGCTAAAGACTGTACAGAAATGGAACAATTTGGGTTTTGAGCTTTGTATTTAGCTCTCGTTAGAAGACTGGGGGTTTTTGTTGTTGTTGTTGTTGCTGTTTGGTTTTTTCAGGCTGAATTCTACCCTGAAAACAAAAGTTTAATCAACAAACAAAATAGCTTCGAGTGGACCTGCAATGCCTGATGGATCAGCTTAGCTTCCTAAAGCAACAAATGAATGAAATACATGTCCCATACAATGAAATATATGTAGACAACTTAAGGACAAAGCAAAGTTCTTAGACTCATCTCTTAGAAAAAGAACTGATATTATTCATTAACCTAGAGAGCACAGAAGATGCCCCAATTCACAAAAGAGCAAAAGAAGCCCCTCATCTTCCCCAAAATGTGAGCAGGTCAAGTGAGAGCCTCAGAGCCTTAACTCTGGAATCGCTTCTCCCACTCACCCGGCCCTGGGCGTGCCCGGTCTGACCTCAGGCTTCCCTGGAAGCCCAGCTCCATGGCTTGCTTCCTGACCACGCGCAGATGCTGCTCAGTTTGGGTCCTGCCTGGCAGCCCCAGACCCACGTTGGGCACAAACCTCCCTGGGATCTAGAACCCAGGAGACATCCACAGCAGCCGGATTCCGCCCCGGCAGGCTCGCTCCTGCCTGGAGAGCCGGGTTCCAGGCTGTGGTGACAAAGCAGCTCCCTGCAGTGAACCAGGGCCACCAGGGCTGCAGTTCAACCTCGGGAACAGCCTCGGACGTGCTCCGCTGCTTCCCTAGGAGCACCGTTTTCTGAGCACTCTCAGACTCCATTCAAACGCAGCGGGAACTGCTTGAAAACCCCGTGGGGTGAATTCCTGGCACTTCCCCTTTGGACCACGGGCTCCATGGAGAGAGCACTCGCCTCCAAAGAGACCCCACACCACGCACATCCCCTGACCTCACTGCGGTGTCAGCGGGAGGAAGAGGAGCTCTGCTCTTCTCTGGCCAGAGGCAGCTCTGCTTCGCGTAACCAATTTACAACACGGGCCAAAGCAATTCCCAAGCAGCTCCTGCATCAGGGAGCAAACTAATTCCTTTCCTCTCTCCTTGGCTGCGCAGAGCAGAGCCCGGCTGCACCTGAGGTTCCAGCTCGTAGTCTATATTCTGCATCATAAAAGATACAAGAGAGAAATCTAAACTAGAGAAGTAATAACCTGTAAACTAATAAAGCAACCCAGAACTTTGATAGCGAGGCGCTCCCAAGAGCGGGGATTATTAATGGATGTCCTGAAACACCGTGTGTCTCGTTTTCGAGAGAAGTGGGAAACATTTCTAATGCTCTGCGGATCTTATGCATTTGCTCCATAAAATCACTTCAGATAAATACAATTATTGCAAAAAGCAGCCTCCTTTCGGTCTAGGCACTGAAGCATTTTAAAAAGAACAGTACTAAGAAAATGCTCAAATAAATAATAATAAAGGCATAGAACTGTGGTATTACGAGCTGTTTTCCTTGCCGAAGTATTGGGCAGCAGAGTCATTGATTTTCTGCAGTAACTGAGACCATGATATGCACACGCCTTACATTTCTATAGCAGTACGTGCATGAGAATGGAAGAAGCAATCCCGGACTCCTGCGGAATCTCCAACAAGGATTCGATGGCCTTCGAACTGTTCATCTCTTTTCTCCTTCTGACCATAAAATGGGACGCATTAATAATTTCCCATGTCTAAGAGAGCTTATGAAGCTAAATGCAGTAATGTTTGTAGTGTCATTAGAGATCTCTAATGGAAAGCACTATAGGTAACTGGAGCAAGGATGCAGACACTGTCCTTCTCCGTTAGAAAATGACCAGAAACAGGTGGCAAGCAGAGAGACCTCCAGGGAAAGGTCCCGTTACCTGCCACGGTGCATTCTTAAATTTCTATGCTCTGCCTGAGTCACGCGGACAACAGGGACCTTCTCCTTAGTAACAGCTCATATACATTTTTAATGTATGTATTTTTGGTGATAAAGACTCAGTACTCAGTTGCCTCCTGCTGTCTGCCTGATGTAGTCGGTTTGCTGCGCCCTATCTCAGCTCCATGCCAAAATGAGATTTCCAATTGATTGAAGGTGTTAAAAATATCTCTTTGGTCCCACACTAATGAACAACACTGAAGTACAGGTGGCAGAGCTGTTCTCATCTAAGGCTGAACTCCAAAGGACCTTCTTCATCCTCCTGCCATATAAAAAATAACAAGGTGGTTGGCAAGGATGGCAGGGTTAATCTGGCCCTTTGTGTTTCTTGAAGTAAAATTATTTTCCAGGGAAGTTACAATAGGAATAAACATCTTTAAGAGCCAGGAGGCTTTTGTGACTAGAGCTGCTGTATCTTCTTACAACAGGCAAAGCCTCACATGATGATGGAAGCAAGAAAGAGCAATGTTGTATTTTCACAGTGCTGGGAAACAGTATTTGCCAGTTTGCAAGGAGTGCTGAAAAGGCATCAAGCCTTTATATCAACCACAAGAACAACCTGCACTCTTAAAAGCTTTTCCATGGACCTCTGCTGCTCTCTAATGGTGCCTTAAAGCATTCTCGGCACAAAGTTTGCTGCAAGTTTTGAAGCTCCTAATGCAAAACCAAAACAAACCAAGCAGTCTTTGAAGGTTTATCTAAAATTCTGATTTCTGCAGCGAGCACTGCAATGTTTTAGATAGGGTTAGAGAAAAGGGTAAAGTTCAACTAATAGAAATGAAGGTTTGGAGTGTATTTATTTCAGACACGTTATACTTATTATACCTAGTAATGGCAAAGGTGCAGGAAGCCACACAACTCTTAAGAAATTTTCAGTGCTTTCGATAATTTGGCCAAACTTACTGGAGAGAAAAAAAATCAAATAACAAACAAAAACTTTCAGCAAGTTAGCTACATGCTGGGAACAGAAGCCAAGGCATCTATTACTGATGGATACAAGCATTTTCTCCCGGGTTCTTCCCATGTTTATCTTCCACCGCAAAGCAGAGGAGCAGCATGTGGCCCCCCGGGGAAGCGGCTCCCGGAGCAGCACGGAGGTCCCAGCAGGGCCTCCCCTGTCCCGGAGCGCCCTTCCCTCCGCGGGGCCTGCACCTTGGCAGGACACACTCGGCCCCGAGGCCGGGGGGCTCCCGCGGCTCCGCGCGCGTGGCCGGGCCGCGCCGCCGCC